TTAACATTTCTTGCAATGCTAGTTGGTGGTGGTAAACTACTTTAGCTTTTTTGTGTGTGTGTGTCTGGGATGCTCTTTATTTCACCATCTATTTTTAATGATAGCCTTGGTGCATAGAGTATTCTTGGTTTTAGATCCTTGCTTTTCATTACCTTGAACACTTCATGCCATTCCCTGTTGGATTGTACAATATCTGGTGAGAAATCAGCTGACAGCCTTATGGGAGCTTCTTTGTAGGTAATAGATTGCTTTACTCTTACTGCCTTTAAGATTCTCTCTTGTCTTGAATTTTTGGCATTTTAATTATGATATGTCTGTGCTTGGGTCTCTTTGGGTTTTTCTTGCTTGGGACTCTCTGTGCCTCCTGAATTTGTGTGACTTTTTCCTTCACCAGGTTAGGGAAGCTTTCTGCCATTATTTCTTCCAACAGGTTCTCTATCCCTTGCTTACTTTCTTTCTCTTCTGGGACTCCTATGATATGAATATTGTTTCATGTTTTCCCACAGCTCCCTTAAACTGTTCTCCTGTTTTTTAATTTTTTTCTTCTTTTTGGATCTCTGCTTGAGTGATTTTTTCCTATCCTGTCTTATAATTCGCTGATTTGATCCTTAGCTTCCCCTAATCTGCTGTTTATTCCTTCCAATGTATTTTTAATTTCTGTTATGTCATTCTTAATTTCCTTCATTGTTTCCATGTCTTTTCTCATGCTGTTGATCATCCTTACAATTAGTATTCTGAACTTTATATCTGACAGATTACTTATCTCCATTTCATTTAGCTCTTTTTCTGGAGAATTCTTTGTTCTTTCATTTGGGGCTTGTTTTTTTGTCTCCTCATTTTGGCTGCCTGTTTAGGTTTGTTTCTATGTAATAGGTAGATCTGCCAGGCCTCCCAGTCTTTTTGAGGGGTCTCTGGTGTAGAACAGTGTCAGACTCTGTTTGTGACTGGCCTTGATACCTTGTTTGTAGCTACCCAGGATCCACACCTTGTGACTCCCTTTGCTGGGGGTGGGTGCATTTGGAAAGGACCAGGATGCACACCAACATCTGCTTTTCCAAGTTCTGTTTCCAGAAGCAGGCAAGGCAAAGACTCAAGGCATCCAGTGATCTAACTTTGCCTGCAGGCTGATTATTCTGCATCTCTTAATGAGCCTCAGGCTGTAGACCACAGCAAGGCATAAACTCCACAGGTTGGTGTGAGTGGTTTTCCAACAGAATAGGGAAATTGCC